GTCCCTAAGGAGTCCTGTGGGGTTCCACACTCAGTGTGCTACCCAAATCAGAGATTCACCACAGATCTGTCTCCCCTTCAACCTGGACTCAAGTTACTGCGGTAAGAAACCTCACTGACCATGGTTAACTGAAGAAATCCCTCCTTCAGAAAGAACCTGAGTGGTAGATGAGGTGGTTAGACAGGATCTTTATCCCCCAAGCTGTCTGGACGCCACAGCCAGGACCAACTCGGACAGCTGCGAGAGAGAGCCCCTCCAATGTGGAACCTCCTACACAGCCCCCCTTTTGGGTCCCTGGATCTGAGCCCCCAGCAGGACCACCACTCTGGGGGGAAGTCTCCCTCCTATCCCTCAGATCCCCACGTTGCTCCTCCTCTAGGAGAAAAGTCAGCCCTGCCCCTGGAGCTTCTCTAAGATGGCACTGAACTCGCCGTTATCTTGAGGAGCCAAGAGCTGAAGTGACTCTGGCTTAGCAACCCAGTGTGGCCAAAGTGGAAAGGTTCTCTGTCCTTTGCAGTCACCAAAAAAGAAAAAAAAAAAGAAAAAGTATGGTCTCACAGGCACAGCATCTTCTTTTAAAAAATAAATATTTATAAACTTAAGGAGGAAGATTCAAAGAATCAGGGTATCTTTCCCTCCAAAAACACAAATGTCCCCTGTAAGTCAAACCAAGGTGCGACCACCAACCCATGAATGAAGCCCCCTCCCCCTGCAGCTACAGGGTTGAAGGGCAGGTGGGCAGGGGAGCTGCTCTCTCTCCCGCCTTCAGTCCCCCTTGGTGATGAGGTCCTCAATGTAGGCGTCCAGCTCATCATCTGTGTTGATGTCTATGTCCTGGAATAGAGCAGAGCAGGAGTCAACGGGGGGCCAGAAAGTGATTGGGGGGCCCACCTTTACACCTTCTCTCAGCTTCTGGGACAGAGCCCAGAGTCCCCTCCCCCACCTCCCACCCCACCCTGGATGTCAGGCTTCTGTCCTATCTTTATTCTCCCCTCCTCCATCTACTGTGCACGGATGATGCCCAGATTTCCTGTGCCCGCCGTGCCTCTACCCCATGTTCCCAGTTGTCTTAGATGTACGTTTCCCTCAGATCCTACAAATATGCCCACTTCTCTCCCTTCTGTCACTGCCCAAGGTCCAGGCCACCACTGTCTCAGACAGCTGTGGGAGCCTCCTCACAGGAGGCTCTGGTTCTAACTTTGACCCCTCCAGGCCTCCTCCAACCAACCAGGTAAGTGTCTTGAGACTGAAAACTGGATCATGCCACACCCCTCCAGTGATCTCCATTGTAGGATCAAATCCCACAACTTTCAAGCCCTGCCTCTGCTCCTACTGCCCCCAAGTCCCTGCTCAGGCCTCAAGTCCTCCTCTTCCTTCTGCCTGGAATGCTCGTGTCACACTCTTTGCATGACTGGCTTCCAGTGTCTCCAAATGCCTAAGCCCCTGAACATTTTAGTCAAGTGGCCTCACAACACTTTACTGTATCTCCTTAGGAACCACCATCAGTAATTCTGTCTCTTCCACCAAACTGGCAGGCTGTGAGAGCAGGAACCTTCTCTGGCTTGTCTTGTTCATTCTGTATCCACAGGACAGGCACAGAGCAGGCCCTCATGCTTACTGCCTGGATGAAGGACCAACAAGCTAAGGAGCACTCCCCACTTCTGGGCTACCCAAACCCATCTGGGCGTCATGTGGAAAAGAACTTCGTTTTTATGGCTTGGAGGGTTCTCAAACCAGGCTGTACCTCGGAATGTCTAAAGGGAAAAAGCCTGGTTCTATGGGTCTGGCTGGGCTGAGACCCAGGCAGCCACACCATCTCAAGCTCTCCTGCCAGGGTGCTGTGCAGCCAGGGTGGGAACCACAGATTCCTGTGAGTGGACAAATTCTTGTGAGAACAGGAACAGGTCCCAGGCCCCCCTCCCTGAGAGACCAGGTGGTCCAGCTGCAACAGGAAGGCTGCCGGGCTCACCTCCTGCACCTTTTGCAGGAGTGCCACGATGTTGGTCCTCAGCTTCTGCAGCTTCTCCTCCGTCTCGCGGAGCTTCCTCTCGGAGGTACGCAGGCTTTCCTCGGACGCCTTGGCCCGGGAGTCAGCACGGCTCTGGTAGGAATTGCACAGGTTTTGGAGCCCTACTTCATATTGCTTGAAGTACTCTTTCTGTTGGGAGCACAGCAAGAGGGAGGGTACATAAGGGGCTGCCACAAGGAAGAAGACAATTAGCACACAGGTGAAGCACTCAGCACAGTGCTCTGGCAGACAGCAGGCCATGAGGACACATGAGGGGTGATTCTTACCATTCCAAGTGGCAAAAAAGGTTGACAGAATCACTCTTCCATGCTCAATCATAACCTGTCTGACTTCAGTACAGCCCTGTGCCATCCACTTCCAAGACATACCCAACAATGTCAGCACTCATATCAGTTCTCTCTTCACCTACCAACCAATAGCAGATATCTTCAGCTCTGTGGAGCAGTATATACTTCTGCAGCATCAGAGCTTTTTACTATTTTCCCTGAGTACCTGAAACCTCCAGCGGGTGAGGTAGGAAACAAGCAGTTTTTCTAGTGGCTTTTGAAGCAGAATACTTGTTTTAAATGAAATGTCACATGGAATCTCAGTGTGAAAAACAATGTTAAGTAGTATCTCTTTAGGTTCAATTTATTTTCCAAGTTCAAATTTATAACATGACTTCCTCGTAAATCACTGAGAATGATG